ATGTTCAGAATTTCCTGATACGACCAGAGGGGTGCTCTTTCAAGCTGGTTTCTTAGTCCTTTTGATATGTTAGAGTAATTTTTTGTGCACTTGCTTATTTTTTGACATAGGATAATATATTAGGTTCATTATATTAGGTTAATTATGTTTTCCTTAGAGCCATAGTTCTTTTAGTAGATGAAATTTAGATGCAAACATTGACAGTAGATTTTCACACTGATACTGGGTTGTCATTGCTTCTAGGTATTTTCAGTGGACTGTGAAATATTTATCCTGGTATGTGTGTGTATATATATATGGGGAACATATATACATGAAAATATCTATTATGTATGTTTTTGAATTTTGAGTTCATATTGAAACTTTTAATTCTAATCTAACATATAAGTTATTTGCCTTCCTTTTATTCCATAATTAGGTCTTCTACATGGATGAAATGGGCTCTTACTCAGTATATACTTGACCCTTGAACAATGCGGGGGTTAGGGGGGCCTGCCTTCCTGATGTCGAGAAGCCATGTAAAACATAGTTGGCTCTTCCTGTATGCAGAACCAATCTGTGGTTCCACGTCCAGGATTTAATCAACTGTGCACCATGTAGTGCTGTAATAGTTACTGTTGAAAAACCTGTATAAGTGGACTTGCCCAACTGAAACCTGTGTTGTTTAAGGGTGTTTTACTCACTTGCTCAGTCCTACAATAAACACCAATTTCAGAGATACTACAGCTTTATCAACATCAAACCTTTTAAAGTAAAGTTCAAAACTTTTTTTGTAATTGTTTCTAAACAGAAGGTACATGGTTATTTGGATTAGTAACTTGGGTGGCTATCATTTTTGAAGAATCAGTCCTTTATGTTTGTAGATCACTTTATAGAGTTTTTTCCCCCACCCTTGTTGACTCTATTTTTCTGAGTATGTAAACTATTAAGTTATACCAGAAATGGTGATTTTAAGTGATTCCATCATGAAGGTTAACGCATGGGTGTGCTTCTCTGAGGCAAGAATTCTGAATCCTCCAATCCCTGATGACTTTCTTTGTTCCAGACTCTTAGTTCTAAAGATCTGTAAGCCCTGCTTGATTGTATCATTTTAAGCTCGATTTAACCTACATGTGACTATCATCCACTTTTTCCGCCAGTCACCCCACCATTCTGGATAGATAGGTTTATGCCCCTAGAGTTATTTTTCTTGAGCATCTTCCCTCTGTTGGAGAATGGGAATCTCCCACTCTGGTTGGGTTCTGAGTTCTTCTACAACAGTCTTCCCCCACCTCTTACCCATCTCTGTGGCCTCCCACTAAGCCAGAAATCTTGTTCTGAGCTAAGACTCATTCCATGTCCAGATCTTGTTGCATTTTTAGCACTTCTAATGGATAGCACCCTGCTCTTCAAGTGCAGCCCACACAGAAGGTTCTGGTATGTCCCTGTCCTGCCTCTATCGAGTTTTGAGAATACTGTCTTGCTTCAAGTAGCTCCAATCTGCTCATGCTCAAGGACCTGACTTTCCCATTAGTTCATCTCAACTTGTATTGAGATGATTCTGCTCATAACATGTATTTTTTTAAGCAGCTTATAGTGCATTCCTCACCCTCCTTCCCTTTTTAGACCTGAAACATAGTTTTGTCTTCCAGGCTAGGTGATAAGTTTCTAGTGGGTAGAGATGTTTGGCCAGGGATCCACCAGCAGTAAGAATAAGCTATTGGAGCTGGGAAGGGAGTGGTGGCAGATTCCTGGGTTTTTAGAGGCCTCCCGGCTAAGGAAGAATCATACAGGTTGGCTAGTGCGTGGCTCAATAGCTTGAAGTTGCCTGGCCAGTCCAGTTTCTGGAGTCTGCCAGTCTAGGATTTGGCCCATTTGAAAACCAAGCTGGTGGTGAAGGAGACACGAGGCTGTAAGATCTTGGCAGCTTTGTCCGGTACACCAGCCTCTGTGGGTTACAGAGTGGCATTGAGTTCTCATAGGCTGGCGTTTAGGCATGCCTTTCCCAACTATGGTCTTGTTTAAGAGGAAAATGCTGAATCTTGTCACCAGAGGACTTGAGTCTATTTAGTAGGTAGGTACTTCCCATGTCCCTACTGTCTTTGTGATAATTTGTGTGTCCTTGGGAGTAGAAAGCTATCCTGATCTCTGCAGAGCAAGGCACTTAGGAGGGCAGGGATGGAACCTTACCTGAGTTTGGTCTGCTATGAAGAACCTGAACAGGCACTAAGCCTTTGCTTCCCATGAAGATCCTGCTCCTTGTTTGATTGATTCTTTTCTGAGAGCAGGGCCAACAGTCACAGCCAGGGTAGAATTGCACCTGGGTAAAGCCCTGGTCTAAGCTCATAAGCACAAACCTTCAAGATGAGCTGCTAGAGCCCCAACTTAATCACCGTCCGTCTTTGGCTGCCCCAGAGTCCCCGCTGCCCATTTATCCCCTGCATTCCTGCTTCTTCTCATAAACATCTCAGGCCATCTAATGAACACAGCCCGGAGAACATGGTGAGGCCTGTAAAGTGTAGGACATGATTTTGTGCAGTGACATCTGGCAGCAGTGTCAAGAGAAACCTTCACTTTGGCAGCCATGTAGAGCACAAGTGGTCTTTAAAGGGCATGATGGTGCATAAGTGCTGGGTCTGTATCTCAGGTGGAGGAAGGTACCAGGCTTCAGACCAGTTGATGATAATCCATGAATGCCTCCTCCAACACTCAGCCGACAAGAGACTTCCTCTTGAATGCCCACTTGGTCTAACCAGTCTTTCCCTCTCTCCAAGGAAATTCAATGGATGAAGGAAAACTGATGAGCTAGTCCTAAAATTCTACTTGCTTAAAAAATTAAAGCCTCACTGATAGGGTGATTTGCTGTTGTTTTAACAAATTATCCTAAAGAGCAAATTCTCAGTTCTTGGTTAAAAAAAAAAAAAAGGAAAGCTTCATCATTCTGTTGAACAGGACGAGAAATCACCTCTTTCAAGCTTTACCTAATAGGAACAATAGGATGACTACCACAAGCCTGATTTTGAATAGTTTATTAAAGGAAAGGTGAAGCATCAGTTTCAAATTGTACAAAAGGAAAAAAACCTCATATTGCAAATGTACAATTTACAGAATTACTAGCAAAACCAATCAAGGAGACACTGAAAATACAAAAATTCGATTGACTTCAAACTAAACTGGAAACCCATTGGAGTAGATACTAAGCCTTTTCTGTCATGTGGTTGTCTACGATTCTACGTCGGCATTGGTTTTTCCACATGAAACTGTCCAGCAAAGGACCAATCTGTGCAGGTGCCAGGGCACTTCCCAGCCTGCTCCCCAGCCAGAGCCACAGGGGCAGGGCTGGTGTGGTGGACAGTCCAGTCATCCCTGCCCCTTCACATCCAGTGAAATCCATATTTCTGGAAGAAAGCGATACCCTAGCCCCCCTAAATGGAGCCCAGGAATTGCTAAATTAGCAGATAAAACATTTTTGGTGACCAAGTTTTTTTTCAGAACTGTACAAATGTTGAGAAGTTTGTTTACTAAAAGGATGAATAAAATAACCCATTTTGTTTTCCCACATAGTCACTGGGTGCACAGATTTGTTTTTTAAAAAACGCTTTTTTTTTTTTTTTTTGGTAAAAAGGGAAAGCAAAGCCTCATCATTCTGTTGCAGCTACTTTAAAAACCAGCCGGGAAACAGCTGTGGTGGATTGGTTTGCAAATTCTGAGGCTTACTTTTAAAATCAGAAAGGAAGAAACTAAGTGGGCTTTTTAAAATAATAGTAGCAGCAAGTCATAAAAGTCTAAGCAGTATGTAACTCTATACCATCGAAGGCTGTCCTGAAGATTTGTAATTTCTTTCCCCCAAAGAATTATCCTTAATATGCACATTTAACACTGAAATGTAGCTGTATTTCAAGGTAAGCTTAAGAACTTCACCCTCTAAGCACAGACTTCTATGCAGCACATACTTCTATAATTGGTAAACTTAATTCACAAAATTAGTGCATAAGGGTATTAAGTGCATGGGAAGTAGACACGGTTATGTTACACTTAAAATTACGTTTGAATGGCAAAGGAGTTCATGATTATCTTTTTAAGAAAATGGAAGTCCATGTAACTTGAATTTGGCAGGGCATGAAATAAGTGGTAAAAACAGCAAACTGATAACTTGAGAACCATTTTTGTTTTACTGAGAATACTTTATTTGCTGGTAGAAGTTGCTAAAAATGCACAGAACAAATACCAATAGAAAATGTACTGTATTTGAATCTCCCTATTCTATATAAAATGAACGGTGTACAGCATCTGTTGGAAAAATGGCTGCATGGACATTTCTTATTTTATGCCCCCTTATAAATAAAAATAAACCTTTTTATTCAAGAGTATATAAAATCTGGGAATTCACATCCATGTCCACAGAGGGTGTGTGGATTTTGGCAGAGATGCACTGTCAGAATTTCATCATAGCTTGTCAATATTCTGCTCCTCCATATTCCTGTATTCCACATGGTCAACCAAATCCAGTGAGCTCCAAAAACACTCTTCGGCAATTAGGGTGAGCTGCTTACTCATAGGTTTAATAAAAATGGTTAGCTTTTAAAACATAAAAAGGCAAAATGTTAAAACGGTTTTTAAATTGTACAACAGGAAAATAAAGTTAAAAATATTTTTTTTTACTCAATGCTGAGTTTTCATAAAACAGGTGTATTACAGTGTTTATCTTGACAGCTGTTTTAAAAATTTAAAATTTCTTCCTCCCTCCAGAAAAACACACACATCTGTACTGGGATAAGTCCAATAATAGGACACAAATGATTTTTCAGGTCAGTCTTTCTGAGGTGACATTCACCAACATTCCCTTGGGTAATTTACATGCTCCTCTTCTGTCACTGCAAAAAGGGATTGACCTTAATCATTTGATTAAAAAACAAATCAGATCACATCAAAAGTGTTTTTTTCCCCATACAAGCTATCACAGTATATAGGCCTCTAGCTCTAAATAATAGAGTTCCAGATTTGTAAATTTTCTTCAGACTTCAGAACATAGGCATTCCAAATCCCTAGAAAAAATGAAACACAATTATTAACTTCATGCATAAACAAGACCCAGAAAACACAAGAAAGAACAGTAATAATTTAACATTTACTGAATCGTCTTCTATGATAGCTGCAGAATCAAAGAAATCTGGCCTCAACTCGGCTCTCTCTCGCCGATTTCTTGACGGGGGCTGGAAAGAGAAACGGATACTTAATTTTTTCCCGAGATACATGAAGACAAACACTGATAATCAGCTAATATTTCTATGGTATCGTTAATATAAATAACTGTTAAGTGTCACTTTGAAAGGAAAAGAGTCTGACTTACAGGAGCATACATTAAAGAAAAATCTAACTTTGGCTTTTATCACTTAATTTTTTTTTAAATGCTTTCAAATTATAATGAATGTATAAAAGCATGTAATTTGGGGGCCTATAAACAAAGAACACAAATTTCAATCATGGAATAATTATAATATTGATCAAACAGTAGGTGACAAAACTTCATTAAATTCCCTACCCAAAGTAGGTAGATGGAGAGCTACTGATGTGTGGGTTGAAGGAGGTTATAGACCAGATATGTCTCATTCATATTTCTTACCAAACCTTTTCATTATGTAAAATTCAAAACACATAAAGCATACTGTTATGAGCTAAATTATGCCCCTCAAATTAGTATATTTAACTGCTAACCCCTAGACCACAGGATTTGACTGTATTTGGAGATAGGGTGTTTAAAAAAAGAGGTGAGTAAGGTAGGAGATCATATGAACGTGAACATGAAATTGCTCAGTTGCATCTGACTCTTTGGGACACTGTGGACTGTAGCCTGCCAGTCTCCTCTGTCCATGGGGATTCTCCAGGCAAGAATACTGGAATGGATTGCCATTTCCTTCTCCAGGGGATCTTCCTGACCCAGGGATTGAACCTGGGTCTCCCACATTGCAGGCAGACTCTTCACCCTCTGCATCACAGTCTGCAGCCCACCAGGTGTCTCTGTCCATGGGATTTTCCAGGCAAAGCTACTGGAGTGGTTTGCCATTTCCTTTTCCAGGGGATTAAACCCTGGTCTCTTGCACTGCATGCAGATTCTTTACCAAATGAACTACCAGTGAAGCCCAGAGAGCATATGGGTGGGTTCTAATTCAATGTGATCTATGTTCTTATAAGAGGAGACACACACAAAGGAAACATCATGTGAAGCCAAAGGAGAAGATGCCCATCTACAAGTCAAGGAGAAAGGTCTCAGAATGAAATCAACGTTGCTGACACCTTGCTCTCAGACTTCTAGCCTCCAGAACTGTGAGAAAATAAATTTGTCAAGCCACCCAGTCAGTGGTGTATTTGTATGGCAGTCTAGCAAATTAATACACAGAGGAAGCAGTATGATGAAGCCCTGTGCACCTATCACCCAGCTTCAACAATTTTCAAACACTTGGCCAATCTTGTTTCATTGAATCGCCTGTTTTTTTTTCCCCTCATGTCATTTCACTTCTGACAACTTCAGTGTGTCTCTTAACAGATCTCTTTTTAAAAGAACATAACCACCATGTATTTCTGACAAAGTTAATAATTTCTTAGTATACCTATACTAAGTCCATATTCAGATTTCCTTATTTTAAACATGTCTGTCTGTACTGAACAGTAAGGTCCATATTCTGCAATTGATTGCTATGTTATATAGTCAGACTCCAGTTTAAAGTACGAGAGGCCAGATGCACATGCTGCACTGAAACACAGATCTAGGAAAGCTGTTTTTCATGAATGTAATAAGGAGCCAGTTCCTATTATTGCCAGAATTCAAAATCTGACTTGCTTTGAAAGCAGGTTTGAAAAACACAAGCTCATCCAAATGCCATACCCACTGATGGTCAATGTTACCTCCTCTTGTCCCTCACAGGGTTCTTAAAACAAGAGCATCATCTTACACCAACGCTTTCACATATTTTAACAGAATAAAATGTACTGAACTTCCTTACCAGGTCAATAACCATGGTGTCTTCAAATTCTTCGTTCATATCTTCTAACTGGCTCCGGGATGACATCATCACATCTTCAAAGATGGGCTCAGCATCTTCCTCCATGAGACCCCGACTGATACGAAAAGATACAGTCAGAAAGCTGTTCAGACTCATAGAACCTGGAATCCTGACTCTTATATTGGGTTTGCGAACCAGTTAAAGCACCTTCCAGTTGCAACCAATAGATTGCACAAATTATGCTACTGAACTCAGGTAATTAAGGATCATTCATTTGGTTCACTCAAGATCTCATCTCAGAAGGAAGTTAAATGCAATAACCATATTACTAGCTAACTATGTACACAAATTCCCACAGAACTCTAAGTGATTAGTACATTATCCCAAATTTACAAATGAGGAACTGGAGGCACAGAGGTTTTAGAGCTTACCCAAGACCACACAGCTGATAAGGGACAGCACTAGGATTTAAATGCTGAATGCATTAAGAGCCCATGCCCTCCATTCCTATTCTACGCTGCATAGCATATTTGAATTATGATTTTAACTCCTAAGACTAAACTTCAGAGAAACCCAAGTCATTACACAAAATGACCATCATCACATAGTCATCATGTTCTTATGGCACTTGATGGAACACTTACACGGCATGCCTTACTCCAGTTCTCACTTTCATGTAGTTCATTCCTGTTCTGTCCTTCCGATTTAAGTCTTCTAATTTCGGCTGGCCTAACCAAGAGATCTGCATCTGAGGACTAAGAGAGGGTAGTGTTATTCATTTTGTGGCAGCACAAGAGGGGTTTAGATAATCAGTCCCATGCTAAGAAGGCATAGTTGGTTGGTCTCATCCCCATGTAAGGGGAGTTTGCTGGATATATTCCAGGGTCAAGGTTGAGATTATCAAAGGACCTGTTTTGGCAGAAATGGTAGTAAGCTGGAGATCCCTAAGTCCCCAAGAGCAGTTGGCTGTGGCAGCTAGTTGTTAGGTGTGAAGGCAATCGGAATATGTCATCCCCAAATATGCCTCTTTGAGACAGAAATTATTTTGAGCTGAAGGCAATTAAGCAGCAAAATACAAAAAAGTTCTCCTTTTCATCCTAAAAGGGTAGGAAATAAATTATCCTTTTACTGGAGACAGACTCTGATGAACCCAGAGATGGAACCAGAGGAACCTGCAAACAAACCTCGCTAAACAAATGCTCATTCTTCCTGGTTAAGGAAGACGAGGACTACCTAGCCCTGGTGGGACCAGTCCTAGTCCAAACTCATGTGTCTTGTCATTTCTTTACAAATGCATTGTTTCTTTGTCCAAAAGGCTTAAAAGTTTCCTACTCTGGTTACTTCTTCAGGTCTTCCTTCTCTTGTGAAGGCTCCCCTGTACATGTAAAAATTTAATAACATTTGTATACTTTTCCCCTGTTAATCTGTCTTTGTCAGTTTAAATTTTAGACCCAGACAGGGGCTCTACGCGGGTTGAGGAAAACTTTTTCCTCCCCTATTAGGTGCCTAAATTATCAGCTTAATTCCCCAAATCCCTACTAAACAAGAATGCTTCTCAGACTCCCGTATCCAGCTGCTACACTCCTTACAGGTGTTCCTAGCTGGACACTCAGTGCCCTAAGGGACAGGAATGATGCTGGCTTGGTGGCTCAGAGCTCTCCAGAGTCGAACAAGGAAGGGTAGACTGCATTTTTTCTCATTCCTTCTGAGGAAGTTTGGAGTCAGGTACATGTTGGGCCAAATCTTCACCTGCACTCTATCCTTCCTGAAACATGGACACTTGCATACATATGCTTCTTGATAATTTCATAGGATGCAAACTTGGATGGGATGACTTTTTGGTTGCTAAAATCTGCCACATGAAGTTCTCTCAAAGCAGCTGTCTTTGTATCATGTGAGGCTACCACCTTGATTCAACCTATAAAACTATAGCAGGAAAAAGAAGACAGGCCACAGCCAGGAGGGCCTGACATGGTATAAAGTCAGGAAAGCAAGGCGGGCTGCTCAAATAAAAGACTCCCCACTGCCCAAGGAAGTGAAGTAGGAATGTTGGTCAAAAGGCAAACTCCCCTCTAAGACTGCTCAGTTATGCAGGAGCTGATAATAATTATCCTTTCAGCTTTGAAGACGGCAGACCTTCAGAGAAAAGATTCCTTATGAAAACCCAAGATCTGAATACTTCTAACACTTCTAACCTTCCTCTTTCCAACCTACTAAGTTTGTCGAGTTAGAGTGAGAATTCTTTTATCCATCAGAATAACACAGAATTACTCTAAATGAATAGAAACACAAGTGGAGCTTAGAGACTCTCAAATTTGAATGGAAAAATAACAAAGAACAAGTTAAGGTTTTCACAGCAAAAGTCATGCCATCACCCTGACTTTTCTGTGATTTGCAGAGCCATGGTACCAGAAAACACTTTAATCTGTGGTGTGGGAAAAGGTAAGAGCTTGATTCTCTTTTACAGAAAGAGCAACTATTCTCAGAATTTATCACCACTTTAGAAGATATTATATATCTTATAATATAAGTTATTTAATCTCTTGGTGGTTTTGTCTCTCATGAATTGAGAAAAGAATATGCTTGGATGAAATAATTCTTCTTACTTTAACAGTTGAAGGTTTATGCCAAGAAAACCATTTTTTACTACTCACTTGTGTAAAAAGTCGGGCTCGGAGCCATGTTCAGACTCAGGCTCCTGAATCTGTTCTCCCATGGGCCGGCTGTTCTCCCGCAGGACGGTGGAAGTGAGCTGTGGTGCGGGCAGGGGGCCAGGAGTCTGAATCATGGTGTCAGTCCTGTTCAGCCACGTATTATCCAGGCTTTCATCTGTAAAATTCCAGTCGGAGTCACAGAATGTCAATGGGTGGAATGAACTCTGGTAGAAGTTACAGCACACTTGCAAAGAGCATGGCTCTGGAGTAGACTGCATAGGTTTGAATTCCAGTTATACCACTCACTTGTGTGACTTTCTATAAGCTATTAAATTTACAAAATTCAACCTCCTCATATACAAAATGGAATATCAGTAACTGCCCTCCCAATCGTAAGGATTAAACGAGGTGATGTATATAATCAGCAAATAAATGTTAGCTATCCTACATTATCATCTCTTCCAAGTCCCTCCACCTCCACAGAGAGGAAGAATGTAGCCAGCCAGAGACCCCTCTAACCTTCCTTTGCTCAAGCAATAAAGGGCCTAACAGGCACCGCAGGCAGTAGCAATGAAAGTCTGGCTTCACTGAGAAATCAGCAAATCCTATTACACAATTAGGCTCTGGTCACCAGGCAAGTAACTCTCTGCCAAGTTATACTTCTAGGGCTGGATTGAGGATCTGTTTTCACACCTTTAACTTTGACCTCTTTAGGGAAGTCTTCCCTGGTCACCCTGCTTGGCCCCCACTTACCATTCTTTTTTAGCTTCTAGAGGAAACAGAATCATTCTTGCTCACTTAGGGCTTAATTTTATATACTGTCCTGGCAGTGATCTGTAATGTGCATTCACTATCTCTGTAATCAGATTTAAGTTTCTTCAAGAGACCAGGAACTATTTTTTCCTTCTTCTAAAGATCATTTATAAAGACTTGAACAGATTAAATCACTATTTATAGCATCATTTGCATATCTAAATTCTAATAAAATACCATGTAATTATAAAGTTCTACCTATAAAGTTCTAAATTACAGTTGATCCTTGAACTATATAGTTTGAACTGTTGGGTCCATTTAAACATGGATTTCAAAAAGTAAATATGTATTCCAGTGCTATATGCTTCACGGTTGGCTGAATCCACGGATGCAGAATCATGTATATGGCCTGTAAGTTAGATATGGATTTTCAACTATGTAGGTGGTTGCTCCCCCTCATCCCATTGGTTCAAAGTAAACTGCATTTTCTTGTGTCAGAAGAATTTTAATCACAAGATATATTATGAAGTTTTCCTACCCCATTAAGTCACAGAGACAATGTGCACGTGAGGCTTCTCTTTAGCCATCAAGCATTCTATTGCCCTCAGCTTTTCTAAAATTTTCTCAGATGCAGGTATGTTCTAGATAAGTTTTTCTGTTCCTGGAAATATCTATCTGCTATCTGGTTAAGGTCATTCCACTGATCTGAAGCTCACTACCAAATCTCTTCTAAGTCAGCCAAGATTACATCTTTTATTCATATCACTTTCATTCAACATTTAATTCAAAACTGTTATTCTCTGCTGCATTTAAAATTTGATGACCACAGGAATGGTTTCACTTAGGTTTTTTAACTTGGTAAATCATCTTTCCTGACCTGCCTCTTGAGAAACCTGTATGCAGGTCAGGAAGCAACAGTTAGAACTGGACATGGAACAACAGACTGGTTCCAGATAGGAAAAGGAGTACGTCAAGGCTGTATATTGTCACTCTGCTTATTTAACTTATATGCAGAGTACATAATGAGAAACGTTGGGCTGGAGGAAGCACAAGTTGGAATCAAGATTGCTGTGAGAAATACTAATAACTTCAGATATGCAGATGACACCACCCTTATGGCAGAAAGTGAAGAGGAACTAAATAAAAAGCCTCATGATGAAAATGAAAGAGGAGAGTGAAAAAGTTGGCTTAAAGCTCAACATTCAGAAAACTAAGATCATGGCATCTGGTCCCATCATTTCATGGCAAATAGATGGGAAACAGTGGAAACAGTAGTTGACTATGTTTTTCTGGGCTCCAAAATCACTGCAGATGGTGACTGCAGCCATGAAATTTAAAGACGCTTACTCCTTGGAAGAAAAGTTATGACCAACCTAGACAGCATATTAAAAAGCAGAGACATTACTCAGTCCACAAAGGTCCGTCTAGTCAAGGCTATGGTTTTTCCAGTGGTCATGTATGGATGTAAAAGTTGGACTATAAAGAAAGCTGAGCGCAGAAGAATTGATGCTTTTGAACTGTGGTGTTGGAGAAGACTCTTGAGAGTCCCTTGGACTGCAAGAAGATCCAACCAGTCCATCCTAAAGGAGATCAGTCCTGGGTGTTCATTGGAAGGACTGATGCTGAAGCTGAAACCAATACTTTGGCCACCTGATGTGACGAACTGACTCATTTGAAAGACCCTGATGCTGGGAAAGATTGAGGGCAGGAGGAGAAGGGGATGACAGAGGATGAGATGGTTGGATGGCACCACCGACTCAGTGGACATGGGTTTGGGTGGACTCCGGAAGTTGGTGATGGACAGGGAGGACTGGTGTGCTGTGGTTCATGGGGTTGCAAAGAGTCAGACACAACTGAGTGACTGAACTGAACCATCTTTCAGCTTTCTACTACATGTCATCTCCAAAAACATCTTCCCGGATCCATTAAGAGTTTGGTCACTCCCTGTATGTTTCCAGAGAACCTTTTTGGCCCATCAGAGCACTCACCATTCTGAACTGAAACTGCCTGCTTCTGTCTCCCTTTCTGTAGTATGAACTCTTTTTTAATACCAAATCCCCAGCATCTAGCACAGTTCTTAGGATCAGTCAGTTCAGTTCAGTTCAGTCGCTCAGTGGTGTCCGACTCTTTGCGACCCCATGAATCGCAGCACACCAGGCCTCCCTGTCCAACACCAACTCCCGGAGTTTACTCAAACTCATGTCCATTGAGTCGGTGATGCCATCCAGGCATCTCATCCTCTGTCATCCCCTTCTCCTCCTGCCCCCAATCCCTCCCAGCATCAGGGTCTTTTCAAATGAGTCAACTCTTTGCATGAGGTGGCCAAAGTATTGGAGTTTCAGCTTCAGCATCAGTCCTTCCAATGAACACCCAGGACTGATCTCCTTTAGGATGGACTGGTTGGATCTCCTTGCTGTCCAAGGGACTCTCAAGCAACTTCTCCAATATCACAGTTCAAAAGCATCAATTCTTTGGTGCTCAGCTTTCTTTTTAGTCCAACTCTCACATCCATACTTGGCTACTGGAGAAAACATAGCCTTGACTAGATGGACCTTTGTTGGCAAAGTAATGTCTCTGCTTTTTAATATGCTGTCTAGGTTGGTCATAACTTTTCTTCCAAGGAGCAAGTGTCTTTTAAATTCATGGCTGCAGTCACCATCTGCAGTGATTTTGGAGCCCCCAAAAATAGTCTGACTCTTGTTTCCACTGTTTCCCCATCTATTTGCCATGAAGTGATGGGACCGGATGCCATGATCTTAGTTTTCTGAATGTTGAGCTTTAAGCCAACATTTTCACTCTCCTCTTTCACTTTTATCAAGAGGCTTTTTAGTTCCTCTTCACTTGATGGTGCTTGGTAAAAACTTACTGAATAAAAGTATAACTTCAGGTAGAATTTATTCTTCTTGAAGAGATCCTCCCAACCCCTCAAGACTCCTCAATGAAAACACTTCTTGCAAAGCTCTCTCATCTTCATCCCAAACTGATGAAACCCTATTGCCTAAGGGTTCTGGACACTTAACCTACCTTAGTCACTTGGTAAATCTGAAACTGATACGGAGAAAGATTTTCTTTTTTTGCAATTAAATAGTTACCAAACTGGGCTATCTGGCCCACATAGACCTCTCTGTCCTTAGCACACTAGTGACTAACTCTCCATTAGTGTTAGATAAGTGGGTATCTAAATTCTCTAGCCCTTTGTTCTTCTCTGTAAAATCTGGGTAATAGTGCTGAACTCAGAACTGATTTATGAGACATCTATACAGCATTCATTATGTGCCAGGAACTGACCTAAGTGCTTTACAAACATTGGTCAAATAAATGATTAAGTGATAGAATGTAAGTACATAGCAAGGATGTGATGAATGCTGGCTCATAAATGCATACTACACCTAAGAAAAGCTGTGAGCAGAAAAAAAAGTCCAGATAGATGAACAGATGTGAGGTGCCCAGATAAAGACATTTTCAAGAGGAAATGACTGAAATCATTCTTAGAGAAAAGTTGAGGCTCCTATACTATAAAGATAGGGTTCTGTTATTTTCATTTTCTGGACCAAAAAGATGTTAAGTCCTAAAGTTGAAACTAGAAAGGAATCTTAAACTTTAACATTCATTTTGTATTTTCAAATCTTTTTATTCTCTTTGAAATATACATTCAGCCTAATCCACTGACTAATGCTAGATGAAGGGGAATACTATATGATGACCACATCTGAACAATGGCAGCGAACATTTATCAAACGATGCCTTTGTGTCAAGCACTGTGCTAGGTAATCACTGTCTGTATACTAAGTTTTTTACTTAAGAGTATTTCATTTAATATTCACAACAGCCAACAGGACAAGTACTAGGATTGTACTTCATCTGCTCAGTGACTGAGGCTTACAGAAATTCAGTAACATGCTCAAAGGTTATACAGCTGAAAAATGAGAAAGCCAGGTCTGTATTCTATCTAGAACTCTGAATTTAGAGTTTGTGCTCTTCATCAATAGTTAATACCACCTCCTCAATGATGAAAGAAACATTAGACTTAAATTCTAATTAATTCTGCTACAGATTTCAGCAAAGTCTTTGATGAGTCACTGTTTTTAAGTTAGCAGAAGTAAACAGAAATTTGTAAAAAGAAGCATGTTGCAGTCTTGCTTTGGAGAAATTTTATTAGGAGAATCATCGAGATGGAAGATTATCTGAGGAAACAAGCATTTTTACTTTGCTTTTCTCTTAGTTTAAGAATAATCCTTGAAAAAAAAAAAAGAATAATCCTTTGGGATTCCCTGGTGGCTCAGATGGTAAAGAATCCTCCTGCAATGCAGGAGACCTGGGTTTGATCCCTGGGTTGGGAAGATCCCCTGGAGAAAGGAAGGGTTACCCACTCTAGTATATTATGGCCTGGAGAATGCCATGGACAGAGGAGCCTGGCAGGCTACAGTCCATGGAGCTGCCAAGAATCGGACACAACTGAGTGACTTTCACACTTTTGTTTTAATAGCAATCTTTAGTCTTTTGGGATATAGGATTTTCTACTCTTGATCACATTTTCACAACAATTCAACTCCCCGTTCCCCATAGCCTATAAGTAATCTAGATCTATGAGGTCTAGATCTAAACATCACTATTTTAATATCCAAAAATAGACTTTCCAATCAAGCAGTGGAAATGGAAAGTTGCTTTGGTATATTCAATGTGTTGCGGAGTTCTACCCTCAACTTACCAGAATCTCTCCTATATTAGGATGCATGTTGATAGAATAACATTATGACTGTCTTATTTTAAACTTTAATGTATTAGAGGTCTATGGTAAGGGAATCAGTTATAAACCTTCTTGTCTCTTTTATTTCTCTGTGCTTATCATCTTCCTGTGTTCAATGCTTTTTCAGCTTCTTTTTCCTTGACCCTCTTCTGCTCGACTTTTGTCTATTCTAACCTTCATGCCTACACCTCTCTCAGTGTGTTTGAAACACACAAGGAAATAATGTGCTTAACAGTATTATCTTGCTTCAACAGAGTATTTACCGTTTTATTTATCTTGACAGGCACATTATTTGCCTCACACCATAAAGGCACACTTACCTTCTACTCGTTTTTTGTGAAGTGGAGGTCGTCCTTTCTTATTCCTTACTGAGGAGGTTTTGCTGCTGCTACTTCCACTGTTCACAGACATTCTATCATCTTCACCGCCAGTGACTAAAGAATTTCTATAGGAGATGAGTGGAAGCCATACATCCTCCCTCCTTTCCATCATTTGTTCCGTAAGGAATTTTTCTAGGTATGAGTGACTAGAAACAGAACAGAAGCAGTCATTTTTATGGAAGCAGTTCATTTAATTTTTTTCATAACTTGAAGCTCTCTTCTCTCTCTGAATAATCCTTAAAGAACACATTAAACTGTTCACAGTGGTTACCTTTAGAAATACAGGGATTGAGAATTTAAGATTTTGCTTTACATTATCTCTGGAATAAGCAATGTATTACTAAAGGGTATGTGTGTTTCTTCCTTTATTCCTTTTTTTTGGTTTTTAAGTACCAGTGTTCAAAAAAAACAAATCAGAAGTTTGGCTCAAAAAGGATACTGATTCTCTTTTAAAATGTTCAAACAGGGCAGGATTTCTAAAATGGTGGAGTGTGGGGAGTGGCATACCCTGTCCCCAACAAAACCACGTTTTTGCTGGTAGATGTTGAGAGTGGGGGACCCTAGGGGGTCTATGGGATGGGAACTGTCTGTACCTTCCCCTCACATTTGCTATGAACCTGAGTGAGTGAGTGAGTGAAGTCGCTCAGTCGTGTCCGACTCTCTGCGACCCCATGGATTGTAGCCTGCCGGGCTCCTCCGTCCATGGGATTTTCCAGGCAAGAGTACTGGAGTGGGTTGCCATTTTCCTTCTCCAAGAATTATAATGGTGTCATGATAAAAACCACTTGTCCTACAACATGCAACTCACGCAGTCTTTTTGTCTTGCCTTGCCGAAGAAGCTTAGGTGAAAATTCACTTAGTACTTCCAGGAAAGCCAGATTAGGAGGTGGGTATTCTTGTCCTTTCTGATTTTGTTATTTAAAGGCAAATTCTATGCCATCCCAGTATTTATTTCATTTAACTTTACTTTTTTAGAGCAGTTTTAGGCTAGCAACCTAAAACTGCTCTAAAAAAGTAAAGTTAAATGAAATAAATACTTTATATCACATGTTTCCCTCTTGGTCTACAAGACTGTACATGGCCCAAGGCTGCCCTTCTCAGGAGCAATCAGGGAGGAAGCTTCTAAGCTGCTGGTCTCCTGACTGACTCTGGGCAAAGTAAACAACCTGAACTGTGATAGCAGCTTTTAAAAGTCACACCCATATCCAACAGTAAAAGGTAAAAATCTAACTAGGAGGTTTAAGCACAACCTTTGAGAGGCTAATACAGGTTAAATGATAAAAAAACAAAGAACAAAGATCTGAGTAGGGACAGTAGAGTCTGCATAACGGAGAGAAACAGACCTCACAGAGTTTGCTGATGCAAGTCTCTAAACAAATAAACAACCAAGTAACCAATAACATCCATCTCTAGGGAGATGGAACATGAACATCATGAGCAGATACATTATTATCTCATGGTATATCCTATGTGCAATACGTTATCTAAAATGGTCACTTTTCAACAAAAAATTGTGAGACATGCAAAGAAATAGGGAAATGTAATCCATATATAGGAAAAAAAAAAAAAAGCAAGCAACAGAAAACTTGGCCCCAAACAGTGCAAAGCAATTATTATACATGTATTCAAAGAACTAAAGAAAACAATGTCTAAAGAATTAAAAGTAAGCCCCATAAGAACACTGTTTCTCATTAAATAGAGAACATGAATAAGAAGATAGAAATGATAAAGAATCAAATGGAAATTCTGGAGTACAACAATGGAAATTAAAAATTCATTAAAGGTGCTCAACAGATTTGAGCTGGCAGAAGAGAAGCCAATAATCTTGATCATATATCAATAGAGATTATGTAATCTGAAGAGCAGAAAGAAAAAAAAAAAAGAAGAAAAATGAACAGTGCCTGAGAGAAATGTGGGATATTTAAACACACTGACGTGTAATGGGAGTACCAGAAGAAAGGTGTAGAAGCAAATCTGAAGAAATACGGTAATAACTTCAGAATTTGATGAAAAACAATCAACACATCCTCAAAGCTCAACAAACTCTAAGCAGTATAAATACAACGAGATCCACAACGAGACGCATCACAATGAAAATACTGAACGCCAAAGATTAAGAAAATCTAGAAAGTAGTTAGAGAATAGTAATTGATTACAAACAAGGGAATGCCAATAAATTTAAAAGCTGACTTCTCATCAGACACAGTAAAGGCCAGAAGGCAGCAGGATTACACAGTCAATATGCTGGAAGTAAAACACTATCAAACAAGAATCTTGTATCTAAGAAACTATAGTTCAAAGGTAAAGAGGAAATAAAAACACTCTCAGATGAACAAAAGTGTATACAGAATTTGTTGGTGGCTGACTTGCCTTATAAGAAATACTAAAGACAGTTCTTCAGGCTAAAAACAAATCACACTAGAAAGTAATCTGGATTTACATGAAAAAACTATGAGTGTGGAAGAGTAATTACCAGGTAGTCATAAAGAACAATATAATTGCCTATTTATCTTTTCATTGATTTAAAAAGCAACTGTATAAAACAATAAGAACTACTGTGCTGTTGGGCCAATAACAGAAATGTATATTTAACAACATACACAAAAAAGTGGGTGATGGCAAAGATGTATTGGAGTAAGGAAATGACATGAGACAGAGATGGTATTTCACATCCACAACTAAGAAAGAACTGAAAAATATAATTAAGGACTGAAGGAATTAAAATGTTATACTAGAAAATATCTGTTTAATATAAAAGGAGGCAATAAAAGAGGGAAAAATCAAAGACAGACATATAGAAAACAAAGTATCATGGCAGAGACTCTTTTAAAACAAATAACATGATCTAATAACAACATAACAAATAACCTCATTTTATTGTACTTTGCTTTACTGCATTTTGCAGATACCTCAGTTTTTACAAATTGAAAGCTTGCAGTAAGCCTGCATTGTCAGATGATGGTTAGTATTTTTAAGCAATAATGTGTTTTTAAAATGAAGGTATGGACATTGTTTATAAGACATAATGCTTTCATACACTTAATAAACTACAGTAGAGTGTAAATACAACTTTTCTATGCACTCACTGACAAACCAAAAAATTCATGTGACTTTATTTATCACAGTATTTATTTTCTTGTGGTGGTGAGGAACTGAACCTGTAATATCTCTGAGGTATGCCTGTATATGCTGTCTACAGAAAACATACTTTAGATTCAAAGGCAAAAAAGTAGAAAGTGAAAGGATGGGGAAAGAAAGCTATACTATGCAAACAGTAACTAAAATAGAGCTGGGGTGGTTACACACTACTATCAGAAAAAATAGATTTTAAGACAAAAATTTTCTAGGGACAGAGAAGGCAGTGGAGTTAAGAGTCAGTCAATCCACCAGGGAGACATAACAATTATATATATAACCTAACAACAGAGTCCCAAAATATACATGAAGCAAAAACTGAGAACTGAGAACTGAAAGGAGAAATAACAATTTAATAAAAATAGCTGGAGACTTCAATACCCCATTTGCAGTAATGGACAGAACTAACAGAAAATAGAAGAAAATGTTATGAAGAAAACTATAAGCCAACTGGACTTTGATTTTATGGAAACAGGTCAAATATAAAATTAAACTATAACTAATATAAAACAAAAGAAGAAAGTGTCCCACAATGGTTAAGCTAGTGTTCACAGATCTTTGAATAAGAGAATAAGAAATCATTCCCACTTGCAAATTCTAGGGTACTGAAAGGTAAGCAAACCATATAAAAGTTTGAAAGAAAATTATAGTCCTTTAAACTATCAGAGCCTAAGTTATCAATGTAATTACATGATTAATTTCCTTCAAAAATTTTAACACTTAGAATTATAATGTGAGTGAAGTCGCTCAGTTGTGTCCGACTCTTTGCGACCCCATGGATTGTAGCCTGCCGGGCTCCTCCGTCCATGGGATTTTCCAGGCAAGAGTACTGGAGTGGGTTGCCATTTCCTTCTCCAAGAATTATAATGGTGTCATGATAAAAACCACTTGTCCTGCAATGTGCAACTTACACAGTCTTTTTGTCTTGCCGAAGAAGCTTAGATGAAAATTCACTCAGTACTTCCAGGAAAGCCAGATTAGGAGGTGGGTATTCTTGTCCTTTCTGATTTTGGTATTTAAAGGCAAATTCTATGCCATCTCTGAAATAAAAGAAAATATTGTCTTATTTTTCCAAATAGCTAGTATAGTTCTTCAACAGGCTAGAATTTAAAAAAAATAGTTGGGAAGGCAGCAAAATTATCACCAAAGGTAAAAATAAACTCAAATGGTAAAGTAGTAATTTGCATGACAGTTGCATAATATTTCATTTTAGTATTTACAGTGAAAAACAATTTATGTTGTGAAGTTATATTTCAAACTTACATTGTAAAAAATAAAAAATAGCTATGCAACCACAAAGCTAAATTTCTGTGTAGGTTTTAGAGGTAACAGAATACCCTGGAAGGATACAGAGATTGTCAGAAAATTTGGTTCTTAAGAGTTTTTGTAAGGTACTTAAGAAAATTTTTTTATTATTCGGTTTTCAATTATGAAATGAGGATGCACAGTGTTTTTAAACATGTCTCCCACAACATTTTCTCACTGACAGAGTGACAAGAATATTTTGTTAAAACTTTCCTTGAAAAGTCTAACATTTGTTACTTTAAAAAATCGCTCAAATAATAGTTGTTTTTGGTAAGTTTCAGTAAACCAGATTGTGTATAACAGTGTTTATTTAGCTCACTCACTTGTGGAGTGTGGCAACTGCTTCTCGTGTCTTGATCTGGTCTAATCCGAATGTGAGGGCAAAGCGACGTGCCAATTCTTTAATACCACTGACATGGGCAGATGTCCTATCTAGGTTGGGCCCTTGCTCTTGAACAAGTTCATTAAACAACTGGTAGAAAGAAAAAAAGAGGAAAAAGTTCATAGCTAAGAAATATTTATTTACTGTTAGAATAGGTAATACAATTTAAAAAATATTTAAAAGCCATATGGTAAAATACGTTATTTCCCTTCTTGTATTAACAGTAGCCACACTTTCCCCTTCTCCAAGTCATCTACTATTTCTCGAGCTTATTTTCATGCTAGTTGTGTGATTACATGCAAACCAGAATTTATTTTTCTACCAAAAGGAACATATTTTGGGTTGGGGAAAATGTTTACAAAAATATACTATGTATTCTTTTTGTTGTTTTCACAGGAATGGCAATATATAAAATGCAGGGTTCAGAACTTTGTTTCTCACTCATTACATCTTAGACAAGAACATTATGTAAACGAAGATCATTAAGATATATGAAATGTTTTTTTCCCATCCAATGACAAAATACACAAAAAAGTTCTAAAACTGAGTGATGGGGTTTTATAATTACATACACATTACATATATTGCATCAAAATAATAGAATCAAAACTCTGGAATACTAAAGAATATAAAAGCCATCGTCATTCTGCCACCAAAGTTAGACACTTACATGTATCTGCCGCCTCTTCTATTATGAGAGAATGAACAGTCCAAGCTCTGATCTAAAGCCACTCCCTGCTTTATGTACTGAATCTCACCGTCCTTTACCTATTTAATGGTTTGGTCCTGTGTACAGCTTTTTCCTGAATCATTAACTACTCCCTCTCTGTTAGATGCATGCATCTTAAAAAACAAATAATCCTAACTTCTTAATTCCATCTCCTCTGCCAATTACAGATGCATCTGTCACATTCTCTTTACACAATGATCCTGAGAAATACTGTTTATATTTGTTTTCTTTACTTCCTCACCTCCCAATCTCTCAATTCACTCTAGGCACACCATTTCATTGAAATAGCTCTTATCTTCTATTAGTTAAGTTGTCTACCTTTTTAGGTTTCTTTAGCAATAGACTGGCTTAAACTACTTACTCTGCCATGACTAGAAACAGCAGTTCTTCCAGAGATTTTCAAATTTATTCATGGGTAATTGTTTATAAATTATTAAACTTTAAACTGTTTTCAGAGATAGTTGTACACAATAGCCTTCAACTCTTAAAATTTAATTTAAAATAAATACAAAGAATATATTTCACTGTATAAAATTCAAAGAATATCAAAGTAAAATTATCTTTTCTCTTTCCCATTATATATCATTCTTCTCTCCAAAGGTAATCAATGTTAGGGTTAAAGTTTGAAAGTTTTTTAGACTAATTTAGACACATTAATATATTACACATACATAAAGTTTTAATTTTTGTTTATATGGTATTGTACTATATTTTGTCCTGAAACTTGCTGTTTTTCACTTAATATTTTGTCTTACAATTATTTTAGCTATTTCAGAATAAGTTTATATTACTAGTCCTACGTTGATGAACATTTAGACTATTTAGAATCATGCAATATTACACAGACTGTTGCAATAAAACTATCTTTCATATACATGGTTTTGTGTATACCTGAATGTATCTATGCAGATACCTAAGTAGGAAAAAACTGGTTCAAAAGGAATGTATATCTTAAACTTTGAAATATACTGCAAAGTTATATTCCAAGAAGGTAGGAGCAATTGCTTTCACAAGGGACCTTTTTCTTTCCATATCTTTAACAATCATTGGTATATCTATCATTTTAATTCATGCCAGTCTATTTGGCAGTGATAAATAACTCCTTGTTTCAATTTGTATTATACTAATTATTAATGAAGTTATGTTTTTTCACATGTTTATTGCTTTTTAAGGAAAAGTTGCCTCTTCTGAAAAGTGGCTTTTTTCATTTGCTCGCTTTTGTATGGGATTTGTTTACCTTTATTACAGGTTTGTAGGATTTGCTATGTTATGATTAAAAATATTTTCTCATAATCTGTCATTGGTTTTTAAATTTTGTTCAGAGTGCTGGTTGATGTATAAATCTGTTTAAGCTTATATATATATAATCAAAATTTTACATTGTGGCTTCTCTCCTGGAGGATTTCCCTACTCCAGTATATAAAAATATCCTTTTATATTCTTTAAACTTAATTTTTAACATATATATATATATATATATAAAATCCACCTAGTAGTTATTTTGTCTACATGTTAGGTAGGGCTATTTATAGCCATTTCTCCAAATACATAGTCAATGGACCCACCACCTATTAAAAAGGAGCTGATCCTTTTCCCACTGACCTTTATCAAAGGCTAAAAATATACATACATACAAACCTATAGCCACTACTATCCCTCATCTCTACTTTAATACCAGGCATTTACTAGGAATCGTCTTTAGGAAATACATGCCGACATATTTTCTGATTTGGATACTACTGTTGCCCCTTCCCTTATTACTTTTAAAATGTATTTTTATATTTGTTCTTTAAAAATGATCACTTTTTAAATATCCAATTTGGCATTTCATCTAGTCTAAGAGTAGATCACCTTAGGATTTCACCCATTTGAAATGTAAACTATAGGATTGTCTTCCTAAAGAAAAGACACATAACACATCTTTGTACCAGAAAGTATCCATAGTAATGTATTGATATAATGATCTAATTTAAATGAGGTGAGATAACTAGCATATAATAACAAGCACACGCAGGTGCTCAACAATATTAATTCTACTAATTTCTTTTCCTTCAAATTTCTTACCTGCTGTAAGCTGAGAATGAGGGTCTTGGCACACTGAATTTTGTCAATCTGCCTGGTTTTACTCAATGTTTCCTTAATGATGTCACCATAGTCATTGTAATACTGTAGGGAAAGGAACACAGCTTTAAAACCGTTGACATTTCATGAGATAAAGAACAGACTGGTGAAAAAAACGGAAAGGTGAGTAAAGACATGTTTAATTTTTCATGTTAAAAACCTAATGAGAGTTAAAAGATACTGTCTAATGTTAAAAAAAATACACACTGGACATTTAAAATTATGAAATAAATAATAAAACTAGAAAACTGGGAAATTCAAAGAGGAGAAGTGATACATGTGAGCAAAATTACTCATTCTTTACAACATGGATTCAACAGACACCAATTGTCCAGATCAAGAAACAGAACTCTGATAGAAACATCTTGAAGAACTAAAACCTAAACAGTCAAAATTGCTTACTTCTGGGGACAGGGCCTAAACAAAGGAAGGGTAGATTACAATAACAGATTTAACTTTTCATTAAATACTTTTGTGTACCCATTTCCGCCCACAATGTCTGTATTTTACTATTATATATAATATAAAAAATAAAAACAGTGATTTCTTCAACAGTGATTGGGAAAAATTCAACTAATTTTATAATTCAATTTTTTGATACAGGATTTAAAGAGTTTTCCTTGTGAATAAATAATTAGGAGAAACTCTAAGACTATTAAATCTGGGTGTTATTTCCAAACTAAAGTCTAAAACCTATAACCTATGTAAAGAAGTGAGTATATTAGCTTGACAATTGCATTTTATCTTCAAGAAGATGGGTATATTTCCATGATGTGAGGTGCAAAAAAGAAAAAAAAAGGGAAAGCAAAAAAAGGGGAAATATCTCAAAAGAATCATCTTTTCAGTGCAATTAAAAATTATCTCAGTGCAGATAAAAAGAAAAAGATATATGAGAACATTAAAGTAGTTCAACAGGTAGATCAACAAAAATTCAGATTTTTAATAATCACATAGAGGAAATGAGGCAAAAAGCCAAATAGACAAGGATATATAAAGAATAGTAAACAGCGATTAAAATATTCATAAGAGATTAAAGCCTATAATGCACACAGGTGTGTAAAAACTGCTAAGGATAATAAAAGTTTAGATAAAGCCTATTTCTTGAACCAAAGACAGTACTGCTGAGGGATGACAAGGAAAACCATGGTAAGCTCATATTCATCCAACCAGTCCTGTTTAGATATTACTTTTGGAAGCCTGCCCTGGTTGCTCACTTAAGTGTCTATATATCTGTGCTTGCTTTGTAATTTATACATCTATCACCACAATAATCATGTTGAGGTTTTACATCTACTAGAAAGAGTTAAGCTTTAAGTTAGAGAAACCAAATGTCAGTTTTTGCTACTTTAATAGTTGTGTGATCTTTGAAAGTTACTTTGCCTCTCTGAGCCTTGATTTCCTTTTCTATAAATGATGATTTCCTAAATCACAGTTACTGCAGTCAACAAAGATAATATAAAAGCCTTAGAGCAGTCTCTCGAATATAAATGGCATAGAACATAGGCAGCTATTCATTATTAGCATGTTATATAATGTTTACATTTCAGGTTCTCTGTAATCTATAACTGCCTTAGTACAGAAATTATGTCTTATTTAAACCTCTGGCTACCAACACAGTACTCATCACATTGGAGCTTTCTGGCAAAATATTTACTTACTGTGTCATAACTAGAATGGAACCCAAACATGGACAAAGACACAAGTGAATCAATGGCATACACAATATTCTGAACATGGGCAAAATAAAATACTGTCTCTGACATAAAAACAAGGCAAAAATACATACACCGATAAGTATGCCTGTTAGGTTTTATCATAAAGATTTTTGAGGACTGCTTTTTTTGAGTGTCCAGAAACAAAATGGAGCTTATGGGAAGAAGAACAGCCAGGAAGTCGCATACTTATCAGAATGGTGTAAAACCCTCACATCTCCTTACCTCCTGCAGGAAAAAATCCCAAATTTTCACAGAGCATGTAAGGTCTAACCTCATTTAATATCTTTAGATCTTACTTCTAGCTCCATTCTCATAAGCAATCTCTGTTGCTATGTCAAGTTACTTCCATTTTCCTCAATTTCCATTGTCTTTGTACAAGTAGTCCAATCTGCCTGAAAGCCCTTTTACTAGTTCTTTCCTTGACTAATGAATGCTTCTCATCTCAGACTTAGTTCAAAAGGCATGTCTAATGGTTTTCATTAACCGTCATATTTCTTAAGAGTGTATCTATTTTATATATTTCCAGGAACCCCTAAACATATCTCTCTACACTGCAGAAATGCAATTGTCTAATGATTGTCTCCAGCTTTAGATCACTTTGGAGTAGGAATTTAAAAATCTTTGTTAACTTTAGTGCCTGGCAGGTAGCATGGTAGACAAACATATAAACGTATCTGGAGAGACGTCATAGGGAAGAGAGAGAGTTTTCTTCCGTAAGAAGGGTCCATGGCCTTAAGAAAATAAAACAGCATTCTTTCTTATAAATGTAAGGAACTCCTACTTCATGGAATTGATATAATGGTATAGAGTGATAAAAAGCTCATAAAAAAGAGAAATTTTAAATATGTCAGAAAACCATCAATAATATTTAGGCAAAAGCTGTCAATTTTAGCTTGCTCACTACTCTTTCATTTTTAGTTGCAAACTTCTAAGGCACTTAGGTGGAATGAGAAAAACAAGAATATGTAGCTACTATCTTAATCAATCAATCAATCAATGTCCTTGATCCATTAAAAAAAAAAGACTATGAAACTATACCTTCATGTAATGTTTAAAGATGTCTGCAGCTGCATGCATGTCAACAATATCATAGATGATAAGTTTGCTGAAGGCAGCAAGTAGATTCCTTCTCTTGTGTAAGGCCTCAATTTTATTAGCTTCATCTTCTTCATCACCCTCTAACCACAGAAAATAAATTAGTTATGAACTTTGGCCCTTTATCCAAGGGAAAACATTGTAGACAAACTGTAGAACAAATAACTAGGCTATAACTTTACAAATAGGTACAATTTAGTTTTAGATAGGATAAAAATTATTAGCTATGCTGATTATCTTAGGGTGCTATACTTAGTTACATATTTATTAAAAACTAGGCACTAAGGTTCTAGGAGATTATCATAGCAAAGACTAGTTAGAGCAGCAAACTATATATAGATTTTTTTCCTCATACTTTTGTCATAACAATACTGTTGTCCTTTTACCTTTAAAATGCTGCCTTTTATCTGAATATTCCTTATGTGCTAATCTCTTTCTACAGAGAAGAAATTTCCAGAAAAATTTAAGACACAAGGAAAAGTTTTCCTTTAGAAACATGTATGGGTAGTAATGGAAATTACATGAAGGAGTTAGTTTTCAGTTCTTGTCTTAAACATGGCTACATTATAAGCTGAGAAAGTATATTTTGCAAACCATGTTATGTACATACACATTTTTTAAAACAAATCATTATCAAATGCTTTCAAACAAGTACTGTTTATTCCTCATTTTTTAGATTCTCAGGTTTATCCATTTCTAATCCCCCCAAAAATATCTCCACAAGTCTCCAGATGATAAAAGTTGACACAGTTGTTTCAGGTTCTGTACTGACCCTCTCATGTCTTGGCCTGCCCTTATTTAGGGACAGTGTTCTTTTTCTCTTCCTCACATGTATATTCATAAAATAACTTATTCTCAACTTCTCTCTTCCCTTTCTATTCTCTCCTTCTCTCTTCCCTGGTCCTGCTGTGAAGCATCAATGCTTTTGGAAGTTGGAAATCTTTTTGCTTAGGACAAATAGCAGGTAAAAAATATTGTCTCCTGAGACTAACATGAACTCAGAGATCCTTTTTTAGCAGTCTAGTATTTTCTAAAATATTCTGTTAAATAAAGAACATTCCAATAGCACCAGGTAGATCTGTGGATTTGATATGCCACAGACCTTACTTAAGAGAGCTTAAATCATCTATTTCACAAATAACCTATTTTATATAGTATTTATTTATAATTATTTATATCCAGTCTTATTTTGCTAAGTTTTCATTCTGGAGGCTCAGAACAATTTTGACTGGTGAGGTTTCATAATATTCTTTTAGCATTTAGTATCTTAGAGTCACATTTTGTTAATTTAAGTAATATATGATCACTACTCAGGAACAGAAAGGAATTCAGATGCTTTGCTTTAAAAATTGTGAACCTGGATGCAGTTTTATTAAAAAAAATCTATCTTAAACATATATTTCAAACATGTGGGAAATGACAAATGTACACAATTATCCATTATAGTGTAGCTTAGGATAGCAGAAGACTGGAAACTAGTCAAATATCAATCAATATGAGATGAACAATATAAATTATGCTATATTTAAATAATAAAACACTGTGTAGCTATTAGAATAAGAATAAGGAACTCTCTGTACTTAGTGATGGGGAAAGATCTCTAAGGTACTATGTTAAAGGAGAGACACTTCACTGTGTATATTATTCTTGATTTCTGAATTATTTGAACGTATTAACTTTTGTTTAAAAGAGAGAAACGGTAGTATTTTTTAGGACTGAATTGGAAATTTTTTCTTCAATCTCTTGAGGTTGTTAAGAAAAGATCAATAGTGACAAGATGATAGCTGCAAATACCCATGCTCTGGTTCTCCTCATCTTGGTCAATGAAAACATGATCCATCACAAAACTGAGGAGTTCAGACTGAAGGCCAGTATCTGGATTGAACACCAAAGGCTGAAGGCCCTCCCTGCCACCTGTCATTAATTGGTGGCTAAAAATCATCAAAAGATCACAGAGTAGCATGAAAGCCTGGAATGAAAAGGAAATTCATCAGTAAAACATTGTACAATAATAACTACAAATGACAATATACTAAATTAAATGCAGTTCAGTAACAGTACCATAATAGAAATGCTAAGTATTCAAATTGCAGCTATTTAAAGTAGCTACTTAATTTTAATTTCCAAACATAATAAAATTACTTTTTCTCATTATATATTAGTCATATTTAAGACTCTTCACTTCCCCTAAATATAAACTATTTTTTTATTTGGCTGTACTAACCCAAAACAATTAAGAGATTTTTGACTTGAACTTATAAAAAATGAACTGAATTCAACTCTGGAAACACAAAATTGAATTACTATATTAATGACAGATTATAAATCAATCGTATACTGCATAAGCAAAAAATAAGCACAAATGTTAAGATAAACTGTATAATTCAATCAATTACAATGTAGTACACTAAATCTGTAAGCTACCATTTTGGATTCTTCTTTTAATAATCTACTGTAAAACAAAATTTTGAACCATAGGTTAAACTTGGATTCAAGATCATTCACATAAAAAACAGTGATGCAAAGCTTCCCAACAAATGCATTCACATAAAGAACTTTCAATATACTTTCCCATAGAGAATACATTATGGTTATATTGCCAAATTTATCCTATTTAATGGATGGTACAAAATAAACTTGTGTCATCAATTTACTGTTATGGAATAACTGAGGGTTCTTATACCCTAAAACAATCCATTCACCCCCCTCTAAAAATTGACTTCTGTGGAAAACACAATTTTGGTATATATTTGGAGATGGTTGTATCGTTTACCTCCAGCAAGAATCATAGAAATTCATGCTCTAAGTACACTACCATGAAATACATAAATTTAGAAACAAGTCACCTGAAAAGAGGACAGCATGAAAGGAATCTGGGGAAATGTGTATTTTTAACCGAGGCCATACTTTTGCATGTCACCAAAGTGATGAAGCAGAAACACTGAATTTCTGGCTTAAATGTCCTGAGTTAGGTACTTTTAGATAGCACTGGTTAAGTTCAGAAGATTTAGAGAATAACGTTTAGGAAAGATAATCTCTGTTCCCATTTTAAGTTAGATGCTGATAACTTAATAAAGAAGAGACCTGTGATACCCTATTTGTAAGATGAGATACCACAGGGTAAGTACTATTGTATTCTTTAACTAGATATAGACTCTTTCTAGTTGAACATCATAATAAAAAACAGCATGGAAAAGATATATCTTTTTTTTTTTCAAATAGAAGCTCTTCCTAATAGAACAGTTTTAGTTTACAAAATCACTTTGTGAAAATGGTATTGCCTTGGGCTTCACTTTGACCATCTTTGGTCTACACCCCTTGCCAAGGGGTGAGGAGTCTGTTGGACCAATGGGATATGCCCACTAGCACCCCGACTTTACAATTCTGTCCAGGGACAGGGATTCAGGGACTCCCTGCCCTCACAGACTGGATTCTGCTACGAGCAGCTGCATAGGCATCCTTCTGAGACACACGGCATCCCCAGTGTGTACTCCTAGGCCCCAGGATAATTAAGGAACAACTTGTTTAAGGAAGTGATGCTGACAGTTTGGATATGTGGGCTAAACTGTTCACCTGCATATGTGAAAAGTTCTACCTGGTGTGGGAAAGAACTGAAGGTAAGATGAGAAGAAAGTGGACCCTAAGCCAGCTCCCATTCTGGTACAGAATCCTCAGGTTCTGGTATAGAATTCATAAGAATCAAGAATTCTAAATTTAAACCTGACCTCACTTGCCAAGGTACAAAGATGTATAACAAGTTTATTAGCTTACTTTATAACTTAAATATTTAGACATCTATACTCTTATCCCAGGTCCCATAACATAAACTACATGCTAAGAACTGCCATAAAAAATTACATCTTAAAAAAATTTACATCTTCTTATGCTTCTTCAATGCATTTGAGTTATTTATATTGAGAGCTCTTAACTGACAATCTCTTACCTGTTCCTTCACTGGAGTATTAACATTAGATAGGCACTGCTGGCAAACAGCCAGAAAGGACTTCACTGTTTTCCTCAATACCAACAAGTCCTCCTGTAAGACACAAATTTGCAAGCATGAATTACAGTATTCTTGAAAACTGAAGAAATAATAAATGGAAAATAGCCAAACCAGCTTACTGTTAAGTAAATTCATAAAACCAAATTTATCACTGAGAACCAAATCACAATTTCCCAGTTATCCTAATGGAAGGGGCAGCAAAACTGATAATCCCAAATACTCTGTTCAATTTTGCTTTGGAATGCTCAGTATGACTTCCTCCAACATATTTCCTTTATAAATATGGTTTACTTGGACTGGTATTAAAACTGATAGTCATTCCTATAACAAATACTAGATGTAGTAAAATAAGGAAGTGCAGCAGCATTCTGGGGAAAAAACCAACTAAGCAATAAACATGTACTGAATTTTTCCCATATTCTCATCACTCTGCAAAATGTCAAGGTGAAGAGATAACTTTAAGATAGTGTCCATGTCCTCAAAGAGTTAATATTTTAGCAGGGAGTCAGACCAATCATAGAGTAATTAATTGTTTAATTTTTTGGTATCAACTCTAACTGTGGCAGACAGACATGGCTGAGTTGGAGGCAGCTTCATAGAAAGATGAGCTTTAATCCAAGATTGGACAGGTGAATAAGATTTAATCAGATGGCCATATTACAATATTCAATATGAAACATTGGAGAACTATAAAAGGAAACTTAAATTTATCAAGTCCCTATAAAGTGCCAGGCACTGGTAAGAGGGCTGTTGTATAATTTAATATTTATATTGATTATAAGAAGTAGTTATTACTAGCAAAGATTGAAAGTCAGGACTGTCTGGTATCAGAGCTCACATTCTTTTCACTAATGAGCAAGATGCATGCAGATAACTCAGTATTATACTGATATTTAAAATAGTAATGAAGAGTACTTAAATGAGCACAGGCTGGTATAGAAGTCACTTTTAAAAAGTATTCTATGAAACTAAGATTCTTTAAGCTTTTCTATTTTGCATAGTTGACAGTACTTATTCCTTTTTGGAATCTTCACATCCCGAATAATGATACTTCAAAAATTACATATATTTTCTTTTGCTAAAATGAGTGCAGTATTTAGAAGGAATAAGACCCTCTTATGCAGAGTAGTAAAAAGGACACTGTCTCCAGAACCTTTAATGTTCCTGTAGATTAACATCCAAAAATCAAACCTCAACATTCCTTGATCTTCCTTAATTTCAGACTCATAAAGCATTAGGGGAAAGAGAAAAGAGAATAGGCAGTCACAAAAGAATATAAGGAGTTCTTACACTGGAAAGCTTAACCCAGAGTCAAAAGCAGTCACAGCATGGTTGCCAAAGAAGAGTTCTGAACAACTAAAAATCATCTACCTATAAGGAAAGGTGTTCCAGAGGGCACAGAATGTTCAAAAGCCTGGAGGTGCTTTTGAGAGACTACTGTTAATTTACTGCAGTTGGGGTGCAAATGAGAGGAATGGTGAGAGAAAACCAAAGAGAGAGAGGACCCATTTCCATTTAAATGGAATACAATTTAAAATGCCATGTTAAATTATTTGGCTATTATCCTGTCAGCAATAAGGAGCTAATGAATAAGGATTTTTATCATGAAGTTGTTAAAAAGTTATGCTAAGGAATCATATTCTAAGGAAAAGAGAGAAAGATGTAAAATAGTAAATAAAATCTTAATAGCATTAATAATAGTATTAATAATAATACTTCTTCTCTTGAGGGTTTATTATGTACCAAATGCTGTGTTGTAAGGGGCATGGTGAAAAGCAGGGAAGCTGGCATGCTGCAGTTCATGGAGTTGTAAAGAGTCGAACTGAGCAACTGAACGACGATGAATGGGCATAAATTTAAGTTTCATAATCACTCTATGAAGTAAGTGATTAATATGCCTATATTACAGAGGAGGAAACAGGTTCAGAGCATCTATAGATTCTAAGTGATAGAGTAAGGATCCATACTTAGGGCTATCTGACTCTAAAGCATAAGCTTCTAATCATCATCCTACAGTTCATCATATATTAACAGACGCCATAGGAATAATCTGAAAATAAAATATTGGGCCTAAAAATAAAATGTTGTCAGTAAAGATGTCAACAGAGTATAGAGGAATTAAAGCAGCAGAGTTGATAGCATTTAGGAGCTAACAGGAACAGAGGATGTTGATGTGACCTAATTTCTAGGTAGTTGCCTACTAGATGATATATGGTATAAGTCACCAAGATAGTTAATACAGGAACAAATGCTAAGGTAACAAGTTTGGCTTTAGGGATGCTGATCTGCAAACCCTGAAAGATAGCGTTAGGTAGTGACAATAGGAAAAAGGAGTCCAAAATGGTGGTGGCTAAAAGACAAGGAAGGGAAAAGCCTGTGAAAATAGAACTAACAAAGGAGTGAGGACCTCAGGTAAAACAAACAGCCCTCCTGGCCAGCCCAATTTACATAGGGCAGGCTCAGGGACAGGAGAAAAAACATAACGAGAGGAGCCAAAATCGAGCCTCGGGCTTTTCTTTCCTCGTCTTTTGGGTTGGATGTATTTTCCTTTGCTTGCCAATAAAACTGAGCTATAACACCGGTCCATCTATCACTTCAAATTTTTGCTGCGACTGAGGAAATTACATGGGGAATGCTTAAAATTCTCCAAGCCAGGCTTCAGCAATACGTGAACTGTGAACTTCCAGATGTTCAAGCTGGTTTTTAGAAAAGGCAGAGGAACCAGAGATCAAATTGCCAACATCTGCTGGATCATGGAAAAAGCAAGAGAGTTCCAGAAATATATCTATTTCTGCTGTACTGACTATGCCAAAGCCTTTGACTGTGTGGATCACAATAAATTGTGTAAAATTCTGAAACAGATGGGGATACCAGACCACCTGACCTGCCTCTTGAGAAGCCTGTATGCAGGTCAGGAAGCAACAGTTAGAACTGGACATGGAACAACAGACTTTTTATTTTATTTTCCTATTTCCAAATAGGAAAAGGGGTACATCAAGGCTGTATGTTATCACCCTGCTTATTTAACTTATATGCAGACTACATCATGAGAAACGCTGGGTTGAAGGAAGCAAAAGATGGAATCAAGATTGCCAGGAGAAATACCAATAACCTCAGATATGCAGATGACACCACCCTTATGGCAGAAAGTGAAATAGAACTAAAGAGCCTCTTGATGAAAGTGAAAGAGGAGAGTGAAAAAGTTGGCTTAAAGCTCAACACTCAGAAAACTAAGATCATGGCATCCAGTCCTATCACTTCATGGCAAATAGATGGGGAAATAGAAGAAACAATGGCTGACTTTATTTTTCTGGGCTCCAAAATCACTGCAGATGGTGATTGCAGGCATGAAATTAAGACACTTACTCTTTGAAAGGAAAGTTATGACCAACCTAGACAGCATATTAAAAAGCAGAGACATTACTTTGCCAAGAAAGGTCCGTCTAGTCAAGGCTATGGTTTCTCCAGTGGTCATGTATGGATGTGAGAGTTGGACTATAAAGAAAGCCGAGCGCAGAAGAATTGATGGTTTTGAACTGTGGTGTTGGAGAAGACTCTTGAGAGTCCCTTGGACTGCAAGGAGATCTAACCAGTCCATCCTAAAGGAGATCAGTCCTGAATATTCATTGGAAGGACTGATGCTGAAGCTGAAACTCCAATACTTTGGCCACCTGATGAGAAGAACTGACTCATTTGAAAAGACCCTGATGCTGGGAAAGATTGAGGGCAGGAGGAGAAGGGGACAACAGAGGATGAGATGGTTGGATGGCATCACCGACTCAATGGACATGCATTTAGGTGGGCTCTGGGAGTTGGTGTTGGACAGGGAGGCCTGGTCTGCTGTGGTTCACGGGGACACAGAATCGGACACGACTGAACTGAACTGAACTGAACTGTAACACTGGTCCGCCCACTGCTTCTAATTTTTGTTGTGGTGAGACAGAACCGAGGAAATTACACACTACCCCTACAATATCCTACTAAAGATGTCTAATAGGCAGCTGGATGAGTTCAAAGTCCACAGTAAAGAATCTGAGCAAAAAGAGATTTCGGAGTCCTCGGCATTTAGAATGAATGGAAGTAGATGAGACCATTAAAAAGAGAATATGTAAATAGGGCTGACAAAAGTACCTGAGGGAACACCAAAACTTAATAGATGGATAAGAAAGAAAAGCATATGAAGAAATCTAAGAAATAGTCTGAGAAGTAGGAACAAAATCAGAATATGGCATCCCAGAGGTAAGAAAAGGAAACATTTAAAAATGAGTAGAATTGAAACTTCATTGGTGGTCCAGTGCTTAAGAATGCACCTTGAGCACTGTACCTTAAATAAACCACTGCAGGGGATGTGGCTTTGATCCCTGGTCAGGGAACTTGGATCCCATAGACTGCAGGGAAACTAAGCCTTGTACCACAACTAGAGACAAGCCTGAGCATCACAACAAAAGATCCTGTGTGCTGGACTGAAGATCCCCACACTGCAGTGAAGATCCCACCTGCTGCGACTAATATCCAACACAGCTAAAAAATAAACAAATAAACAAAAATATTAAACAACAATAATGAATGGAATAGCTTAATGATGACAAATGCTACCAAGAGAAAAGAAAAGGACTTGAAAGTGTTGTAAGAATAAAGCAACAACATTCTGAGTGACCATGAGGAGAACACTTTCAAAGGGATTGTTCTTTAGTTGCTAAGTTGGGTTCAACTCTTTTGTGACTCTGTGGACTGCAGCACACCAGACTCCTCTCTCCATGGGATTTTCCAGGCAAGAATACTGAAGTGGGTTGCCATTTCCTTTTCCAGGGGATCTTCCGACCCAGGAATCAAACCCGTTTCCTGCATTTACCACTGAGCCACCAGGAAAGCTCTTCAAAAGAATTTTGTTGTTGTTGTTCAGTTGCCAAGTGGTGTCTGACTCTTTGCGACTCCATGGACTGCAGCACGCGAGGCTTTACTGTCCTTCACTATCTCCTGGAGTTTGCTCAAATTCATGTCCATTGAGTCAGTGATGCTATCTAAGCATCATC